AGCAATTTAAAAATAACAAATATCTTCTAAGAAAAATGTATATTTGTATCGTATACCTAGCTGTAAAAACAATTTTTAAAAAGCGTAAAAAAAGTGTAAAGATTTAATTATAGACCAAGTAATCCCTTTGGGCATACAGAGTGCATGAGCTTCTTGAACTTGGCAAATGAAGTGATGGTGTGGTCAGCACTTTGTCCAGCCGACTTGACTTTCCCCAAAGTATGTCAGGTACCCGTAAGAACTGGAGTGAACTCAGGGACACACTACAGTCACAAGTCCGTACACAGATTCGAACTCGAGAACCAAACGCGCTACCATTCGACCACGCCGTCCCACTAGTTAGTATTGTGGCTAGTGGTATATTTGGATGGATGTTCAACCGTTTGGGTTGAGCTCAGTGTACACTGATGAAGCACAGTTTGGTGGTTGTGTTCGCGTGAGAATAGTGGCTTGACTTAGGTTAGAGTAACAAGATGGCTGTGTCCGCTTGTACTAAAACTACCAAACATGGTTGTTTTATAAGCGAAATATGTAGCACCACCAGAGCTTCTTCCAGGCATCTCTTATGAGCCCCCCCCCCCCTTCTGAACGAAATGGAATTTATATAGAAAATCTATACTTTTTCCAGTGTGCGCCCCCGGGAAATTTTAGTACGCCCCCCCCCCTCGAAAATTCCAAATGCTCACCCCCCTCCCCCCCCCCCCCCCCCCCCCCGGGAGAAAAAAGTCTGGAAGAAACACTGAGCACCACTCAAATGCCCTCGTATTATACTAAATGAGACATGGAAAACCCACGAAACGTCCTACTTCACGAGAAAGTAAAATAATCAATAATCACAATAAAATAGGACAAAAAAAACGACATGTGCACATAATGAGCTGGCAAACATTTAAATTTTGTTTTCGTGACCTTGGATGTTCTGCGCCATCTTACCGTACCTAAAAAACTCAGATCAGCCCCTCCCCAATTACCCTCCCCCCATTACCACCACCCCCTGTTAAAAACGTTAACAGTCATTAACGTTCAAAGCTACCCGCCGTCCGCTCTTTGAATACAAATCATCTAGTCAACTGTTAACCCGGTTTGTAATTGTAATTTAACTCTTTAAGTACATAAATCCCCCCCCCCCCATCACAACTCCACGGTAATCGAACTCGGCAATGCCAATTTCAAACGCCAATAAGAACAGTCCGGATATTCACTGTCGAAGAAACCAGATGTTTATGCCAGAAAGTACAGAGCGTAGCTAAATTGTTTAGCTTTGCCTTAGCGATATGGGTGTGGACAGAGGACAATGACAAAGATGAAAGAATTAAACTGGCTATAAAGCTGACAGATGTGGAATAGGAATAAGATTCAGAAGGGAAGATGGGGGGGGGGGGGTCGGGGGTCCCAGACGTAGGTTTGTCCGCATCTCCATCGATGTCCACCATTAACTAACACATAGTCTGACGCTAGTTAAGGATGCGCTTGCTTTTAAGAACGGATGTAACAAGCGTACTATTATTATTGGGGGAGGGGGGTGATATTTACTTGCTTGTGACATTACCATATAAGTGGCATTAAAAGATAGATGACATTGAAAAAAAAATCTTTCAGCGAGTAAGTATACACGATGCGTGGGAAAATTTTTCATATAACTATAACATTACCTTTTTTCCCTAGACATGTATTACCTAGTAGATTATTGTTAATATATATTCTTGTATTTTCATCGGCATTTTTTTTTATTTAAAGGTAGAATTACAATAAATTTTCTATCTTATAGATAATATTCATTAGAACCCTATACATAACTCGTCCTTTAAGAATGCTAATTATACGATCAAAAGCAGTCTACATTCTGGCCCCAATACACCTCAATCAAAAAAAATGTTCACGACTTTGATTTTCCGATATAGATACAATTAAGAACGACAACCAACAAGAACATTAAATTAAAACCCCACATAAACATAATGAAGAAACTTACTATAGGGTTGAGGTAACTGGAAAAGTGTTTCTTGTCTTTGATGATGGTGGTGTAGTTGGCGTAGGCGTGGTACGGGAGGGCCATGATGACGAACGTGGCCAGGACGATGAGCAAGGTCACGGCCACCTTCTTCTGCTGGGTGAGGATCAGGTCCTCCGCCACGGTCGAGTTGGTGCGGAGACGATCCGAGTGTTTTTTGATCTCCTGGAACATCCGGGTGTAGCAGAAGACGAGGATTCTGGGTAAAAATATAAACACGAGGATTCTGGGTAAAAAAATAAACAAGAGGATTCTGGGTAAAATATAAACACGAGGATTCTGGGTAAAATATAAACACGAGGATTCTGGGTAAAATAAACACAAGGATTCTGGGTAAAAAATAAACACGAGGATTCTGGGTAAAAAAATGAACATAAGAATTCTGGGTAAAAAATGAAGACGAGGATTCTGGGTAAAAAATGAAGACGAGGATTCTGGGTGAAAAATGAACACGAGGATTCTGGGTGAAAAATGAACACGAGGATTCTGGGTAAAAAAATGAAAACGAGGATTCTGGGTTAAAAAAAAATGAAGAAAAAAGTTCTGGGTAAAAACATGGAGACAGGGAATCCAGTAGAAGCAAACGGTGACAGCGTTCGGATTAGATTAGACTGGATTTATTAGGCTTATGGTTAGATTTAATGTAAGGATGAGGTTCAGAATAAATAAGCAATACTTTCAGTTAAAAAAACCTGCGTTAAAATTACCACCTAGCCTAAACGAAAATTGTAAAGATTTCTTCATATTTTCAAATGTTTTTTAAGCAAACTTACGAGTTAGGCTTTACCTTTGAACTCAGAAAACTGAAAGGCAATTGCTAAATAATTTGTTTTTTAAGTAGAAACATAACAGGATGCTGGGTAAAAATATAACATAAGAGGTGTAATATAAACACCTGGTAAGGTGATGCAGGTTTAAATACAACTAAAAACGTATCGCTAAAAGATATTTTTCCATTCATTTACGAAACATCTATTTTGTATTCAGAAAAAAATCGTGATCATGTTTTCTAAGAACTAGAGTTATTTAAATCCAGTCACAGTCGCCAATCGTATTACAACAAATTAAAAAATGAGCTAAATACGTGAGACCACATCTGTATAACAAACTAAAAGTAAACCTGGGAAACGACCAAAAGAGATACGGGCTGCATTCAGATGTTTACAACAGATCCTCGAGACAAAATACCCAATAAAAACAACACACCAAACAACAGTCAATATACAGGCCATTAAGGCCTAGAAATGGGAATGGATAGGGCACACCCAAGAGAAGGGGGAGAGGACAATATCGCGAGGAAAGCATTCGACTGGAATCCAGTGGCGTAGCGAGGTCGGGTGTCACCCGGTGCGGCACTTAATGGTGTCACCCCCCCCCCCCCAGAGGCGTAGCGACCCTTCTCGGGGACAAACTTTCAAACTTTCGATTTGCACCCCCCCTCCCTCAAACTTTCGATTTGATTTGCACCCCCTCCTTAAGTTTTTCTCTATATATTTTGCTATTTTTTGCCTTGGTGTCACCCCCCCTAAATCGTGTCACCCGGTGCGGTCCACACCCCCCCCCCTAGCTACGCCTCTGCTGGAATCCTTAGGGAAAGAGGAAAGAAAGCCGACTAAGAAGAAGAACAGTAGAAGAATAGGCAAGGGCTGCTGGTCTTACGTGGACGCAAATAAAGAGAGCTGCCCAAAACAAAGTCCGTTGGAGAGATAAGGCTGCAGCCCTTTACTCAGGGGCCACAAAGGAATAAGTTTTTTTTAAAGTAAACTAAATTATACCAGAACAAACATTTGGGCCAGTCATGTGACAATAAAAATCTGGACAAACACAATTTTTAAAAATATGAATCATACTATAACTATCAAAAACGAAAACAAAAAAAATAACCATCACCTTAATCAAGCAAAAATGGAATTCATTCTCTTAAAGCAAAAATACATTGGACCAATTAGATGACAACAAAAACTGGATTAATTGCATTTGAATTTAATCCAACTAAGGACCAACCAATCAATAGCTAGCCAATCAAAAGCTAGCCAATCAAGGGCCAGCCAATCAATAGGCAGTTAATCAAGGGCCAACCAATCAAAAGCAAGCCAATCAAGAGCCAACCAATACTTACATGAGAGGTATCAGTATAACGGTGACCTGCAGGATCCCGTGTATGATAAAACTCTGCACGTCATCCGGGTACCTGGGGCCGCACTGCGACGTCCCGGGCTTGTACTCCACCTTCAGCCCCATGATGTTCATGGTGGAGCACACCCCCGCCCACACCCAGGCCGCCGCCATCATGCCTATGATGTAACTCAACTTGAGCGGGTTGCTCAGCGGCCGAACTATGGAATAATACTTGTGTATACTTATATACATCAGCGTATGGATGGAGCTAATTAAACAGAAGCTGTTCATCCACCCGTTGAATTTACATACAATCCCGTCTCCGAAGATCCATTTGTTTTCTACTAACGTGGTTATAGTGAAAGGTACAACGAAAAGACCGACGAAAAGATCGGCGACAGCGAGGTTGACCAGGAAGAGATTAGTCCGGGTTCGCATCCCTCTGTGGCGGACTATAACCATCAGGACCATGCAGTTGCCGACGATGATGCAGAAGGCGGCGACGGAGAGGATGCTGGCGAGGATGACGGAGAACTCGAAACTCCAGCTGTAGTCGATGATTTCCTCCGTGCTGTTGCCGCTGCTGCTGTTGGTGTCGTTGTGGCCGAGCAGGCTGGCGTTGAAGGGGAGATCGTCAGGCATGACGAGGACGATGCGTTCTTCCACGGGGAGGAACGACGTCATCGTAGTTTTGTTTTCAGGGAAGTTGGAGGTGGTCAGGTGGTCTGTAGGAGGTGACCCCGCCGTGGGAGACCTGGCATGCGCAGTGGAGCGTGTCCATTGTGGTCATGCTAGCAGCACCTCATGAGGCACTGAAACAGGCAAAGTTTTATGGTCGATTAAAAAAAAATGTAATGGTTAATTAAAACACAAAATCACTCACTATTATATGTAGATGTTTTTTTGAAAAGAAGGAGGGAGGGCTGATGTTCATGAATGGGGTAAACCGTTTGATAACCAGAAGACACCATTAAGTAAATACTTATTTAATGACAAAGATTTTTATCATTCTTCAATACTAACAGCTTTTCGGTATTTTTACTAGATGGGTGGGGGTCCACGCCACAATCCCTGACCTATAGAGCCGACGCCCCTGATCAATAAAATCATCACATGATCTGGTAGCAGAAATATGTATAAACATATAATATTTTAGCTACTTAAAAACCCACGATAGCATGTTTTACGAGGAATAGATATTACTGAGACAGAAAAGTTAAGCTTGAAAGCTTACCTTCTCAACAAACATATCTAATCAAATCGAAAGGAAAGGAAAAGACGAGACTATGCGACTGATGTTAAAGTATTCGTTAAAAAACCACAATGGTTTGTTTAGGCTTGGGACAGTTTAAGCACGTATTGTGTCACACCCTGAAACGTTGAGCAATCTAATTTACCCGTAAAGTTATTTATAGTATCAGGCACTTCCCCGTTTTTAAAATACCAACAACAATTCATGGAGACTTCATGATTCTATTATACGACTGGCATTTTGATTACACGCAACACATTACAAGGGAGATAATAATCAAGAGTTCCCTCTAGTAATGGGCATGTGCTATTATAAGCAACAATTCTCTTGTCAAAAAAAAAAAAAGTTATTTTTAGCTTTCTAAATATAGAATGTTTTTTTTTTCGCTTCTGAATAGCATTTCCGAAATCCTTTTAACGTTTGCTTTTCCGTGTATGCGGTTGTATAAAAAAAATACCCTGAGTATAGACAAGGCAGAATGCATTATAAATAAACGGCGTTTAAAACGAATCCTCGTCCAATTTTCGCTCACGTCTAGGAAATGGAGAAAATTATTTCCCAATCTAACCGGATCTCACCATTACAGGGCGTCAATATAAACAGTCACATTTAGCATTTCTCCATTGGGTTATCGGGTTAGGGTTTAGCCGTAAACCAAACATCCCGATGTGTTTTGTTAAGTCAAGCTTTCAAACACTGGCCTAACAGATCCTCCTCCCCACACAACAAAGCTTATCTCATGTAGATACAGTATCCAGGGCAGACATCTCACGCCGTTAAAATAACAAACAATGACGGCAGCCATGCGGATAGACATTTTATTTTGTTTATTTCTAATACGGGAACTAATCCCAGTATAATTTCTACATGGTTACGGATTGCATACGGATGTTTTTAGTGCAGGGCGCAGCTTCGAATGTTGGAGTTTCAAATAAAATAAAAGATAGTGAAGGGTGGGAGAGAGAGATTAGATAATGTTATTTAGTTTCCCTTAATTAAATTGGGTTGGGTAATAACGTTCTAGATAGTAGGGGGTTAAAGAGGAGATTTCACAACTTGTGAGGATAAACAATGAGTGCGGGTTGTTTCGTGGGATGCTGGACTATCACGGCTGTGGAAATATTGAGAATCAAGTGCATTATGGGAGGCTGGACTGTCAAAGCTGTGAAAATATTGGGAATCAAGTGCATTATGGGAGGCTGGACTGTCAAAGCTGTGAAAATATTGGGAATCAAGTGCATTATGGGAGGCTGGACTATCAAAGTTGTGAAAATATTGGGAATCAAGTGCATTATGGGACCTTATAGGGTACTGGTACAAGTAAACCGGAGAATGAAGTAAATCACGAGATATTGTAACTGTTTTAAGCAGGGCAGATTTGTAAACGTCATCCTTAAAAAATACGTTTTTTTTCATTTTCCAGCTAGTGAACTTTCCAGTTTTAAGATCACTGCCAAGTCAGTTACGTTTTTATAATAATGTAGTTTTTTTATTCTTCATATAATTATGTAGTTTTTTTTTTTATCTTTAAAATAAGTAAATTTACAGTATCAGGTCCCCCCCCCCCTCTCATCTACTACAGAGCAGCTTACGCATTATAATTTAATTTTGGCCACATGCTGCCTTATATATTTTTATTTTGGCCACACGTTCCTCTTTATATGTTACTCTTTGTCCACACTGTCCACACGTTTCTCTGTATATTTTAATTTTTAGCCACACGTTACTCTTTATATTTTAACTTTGGCTACACGCTGCTCTGTATTAAAATTAGACGGGGTAGGCCCCACTTCTAGTGAGCCTTACCATTACACCAACTACTCACTCCTGAAGCCTAGGAAAAATGTTCACCTCTCTTCATGTTTGCAGAAGGTACAGGAATGTTGAAATATGCCGAGAAACCATTCAGCTAACGACGTCTATTCTAAGAACTCCAATATAGTGTATGGGAGGGGGGGGGGAGGCAAAAAGAGAACTTGGCCTGAAGCCTAAAACCCAGGGTTTTTTAAAAAAAAAAAAGGGTGCGCTCACGTTATTAGCTACCTTTAATTATACCTGTTGGATTGAACCACCACGGATACGGTTCTCTAATTGCTAGGCCAAACAGATGCGAGGAAGCTCAGGGGATTACCTCCACACACAAAAAAAAATCCATTGCGTTAGGTTAGGGATATTTTTAACTTGACCTAAGGAGTCGTCGTTGTTTTTGTCCGAGTATACTCCAAGAAAGATAAATTGAAATATGTTAATCCTACATTTTCGATTGTTTCCATTTAGAATGCGATTAGTCATACTAAGGGAAACAAATGATGACATACTCTTAAAGGGAAAATGTATTTCGAGACACGACACTTCTATAGTAGTACATGTATAATTAGCTTTTAAGTAAATCTCTCACCGTAATTTTTTAAGAAATTACAGGACGGAGGACGTATTATTAAAGATTTGAAGAATCTACATGTTTTTATTGCTTGCATCAACGACACTTGTCAAAATTAGTATCCAGGTTAGTAGGTTGTAACGTTTAGAATAATGATTGGAGTTTGTTTAATGACTTGGGGTCATCGATATAAATGTAGATGTTGTTAATCAGCAAGTACCAAAAATGTATCAAGATCCTTCGTAGACTGTTCTTAAACATTATGTCCAGCCACCATAGGTTTCTCTAACATGAGTCGAGCAAGGATTGAAGCTGAGATCCGAATCCCAGACTATCAGGTTAGTAGCCGTGCGCTCTATCGTCCAATTAGACGTACGGACATTAAACGAGCCACACTACCGCTTCAAACATCGAGGTCGTGGAAACACGTGAACTCTACTTCTTCTGCCATGTAGACCGCCAGGTTCGAAAAGGTTCACTTCACTTCATTTATTCCTTTGTGGTTCCCGAGGAGCAAAAGGCTGAAGCCACATCTCTCCATCAGACGCGCCTTTGAGCAGCTCTCTTTATTTGCACCCTTGTAAGCCCGGCAGCCCTTGCCTCATCTTCTACTGTCTTCCTCCAGGATTTCCTTGGCCAGCCCAGTTTCTTCTTCCCTTGGGGATTTCTCGCAATGTTGTTTTCTCTCCCAAAGTTTTTTGTGTACCATGTAAAGCAATGCCAGCTTTGTAAGACTGTGTCCCACTGTGTTGCTAATACTGACATTTTACCAACGTTCTGGGTTAGGCTCACCAATCCTTGATGCCATGAGATCAGTGTCCGCACGACACAAGTAGCGGCACCAAAAGACAGAGGAAGGTCGGGGGCATTAACTTATGAATGAAAACAGCCAGCAACCAACCTATAATAACACAGTAGATGCCGGGGGGGGGGGGGGGGGGGTGTGGGGTGGGGATGACATTATGGTGTACACGATAGAAGGTTAGCGGTGATTTAAAACAAAATAAACTAACAGTAATAGCTACAGATTAAAACTACAGCCGTGTAATTAGCCTTCAACACCGTCAATTTGTGTGGGGGTTGATCAATAGAGAGTGCGTAAAGAATAAATTTCGATATTTATACAGCGACGACGCAGATTCTTATACACAACTAGAGGATGGGTTTTGAAACTATATTTGAGCTATATTTTTTTGGAGTTTAAAAATGGTAAAATGATTTTGTTTCAGCGACGGCGCAAACAGATTTAATTACAACTTGGCCGAGACATTCTTTGATAATAGCGATGATCGAACGCCGGATGTGATGAGAGTAAAAACAAGTTCAAGGTGTCCGCGGAAATGACGAAGAACACGAGTTTAGTGGGTCAGCGGAAATTACGTGGAACGCGGCTGTTGAGTGAGATGTAAAAGTATTGTATTCGACAGAACCTGCATTATAACACTCCATGAAATCGTACACAATGCGATATTCTAGCAGCCTGCAATCATACACACAGTAATATTTTTAGAGAGAACAGTATTTCAGCAATATTCTAATAGCATGCAATCAGTATTTGTTTCAGCCGAAGGACGTCCAACGACCCCCCCCCCCCCCCCCCCACAATCCGCCCCCAACGAAATAAAATAAAATATAATAAATATACACCCCGTCCCCACCGGAAAACTTAGTCCGTACCCCAGAAATTCTCAAGTCCCACCCCCACCCGGAGAAATAAAAAGGTCTGAAAAAAACACTGCTTGCAATATTATACACATCAATATCCTAACTCAATCTGCAATCATACATACAGCAATATTCTAACAGCCTACAATCATACACACAGCAATATGTCTTATTTATACACTCAACTGTTTTTAAATTTACTCTAATGTGTCCACAATTCTTATAGAAAAAAATATGTTCATAAAGCCCATTTCATCTCTGCTTTCTATTTTGTTGTAGACTACATCTCAGTAACAATAACCCTTTAACTAAACTTAGCCCGAATTTAACCTGAAATTATTGTTATCGGGTACAAAAGCTAAACCATTGCGTTGGCGCGGCTAATTGCTCACATTATTTATCTTAGATTCTTCGTACATTCCAGAATTCTTAATTGTAAAAAAAAAAAAAAAAAAGTTGTTTACTTGCGTTACATCAAATTACATCGAAATAGTATCTACGCTGGATTTGTGATA